TCCTTTCTAGCTCTCGCCTCGTCCTCTTTCCGCTGCATTTCCTCCTTTCGCTCGCGTAGTGCAATGCAGAACTTTGAGCGAGATCGGATACTGGGACCCTTCCAGATGAAAACAAACGGAATGAAACACATGAGGGCACTGAGACCACCGAGAAGAGAGCATGCACCATTGATGTGGAGTTGACGGAACATGGGCTTTGTGGCAAGTGGTAGCACAACAGCAAAGAGAGAGCGTGTCGTAGAGGCGGCAGCATTCGCAGAGGCAGCAAAGATCTCATACGCATCTGTGAGGTAGTTGAGTATAGCCATGAAGATTAGCATGAAACCCATCCCAAACAAGACACCGGCAAGCATAGGGGCGGCGAAGGGAATCTCTGCACGGGCAGACCAACCAAGCCAAAAGAGAGAGACGACGAAGAGGGGGCCACCGAGACAGGCTAGAGGTAGACGACGATACTCCTCGCGTTGGACCCAGGGGGCATTACGCTCTGTAGCACGAGCAAGTGTGTTATCCCATGTCCAGAAGATTGGAAGGGTCAGAGCTGCACCACCAAATATTGGAAGATATGCGAGACCAGTAACGCCTGGTGAAAGGCCATAGACATCTTGGAAGATGATTGGGAATGCCTGAAAAGACATGTAGAATATGGAGTAGACAAGGGAGAGATAGGCGCAAGAAGTTGTCACAATGGGCTCAGATATGATCATGCGAAGAGGGCGAGTCAAAACCACAGTGAGAAGCTGTCTCAGGTCTGTTGTCTCGAGGTCTCGAGGGGCAATGGCACGAGACGAAGGATCTTGCTTGCGGAGTTTTCGAGCGCGGCGTGAGAGAAGAATCGGGCCATATGTCTCGGGAAGGAAGATAATGAGGACGAGTGTAGAGCCTGCAATGATGAGAGCAATCCAGAAGACCCAGCGCCAGCCAATATTAGGGCCAGCGAAGCCAGATAGGATAGGAGAGAGGATGGGACCACCAGTAGTACACTATTGCCAGGTCAGCTTATACCATGCATGCAGGAGCCTTTGAAGATTGGTAGGTAGAATATACTCACCACCATGAAAATGGCAAAGGCTCTGCCTCTGGTCCGCGGGTCATTATACACATCTGCCAGGATACCAGCCACGATGGCAATAGGTGAACTAGCAAACGCTCCGCAGAAGAAGCGGAAGATCAATAAAGCAGGCCAAGTGGGAGCCAGAGCACAAGCCATAGTGAAGATGGTGAAGAGACAAAAGGTGACCAGACTTAGATCTCGTCGTCCATAATGCTCGCTGAGAGGACCCCAAACAACCGGGCCCAACACATAGCCTATGAGGTAAACGGAAATGGGCAAGACGCTCTGTTCTTCCGAAGTGATGCCAAAGTATTTGGTGATATCAGGGATGGCCATACTTGGAAGGGCAGAGCCCATGGTAGAGTTGATGACGAGAACGGATGTGCATAGTAAAACTAATTTCTTTTTTGTCTGTTGTAGGCCTCTACAATTAATAAAGCCGTTCCGTATTTTGAGAGGAGGCAGAAGCTTGGTTGAGGACATACATCTGACCAATTTACTGGGTTCTCTGGATCGTCAACTTCCCAAGTGACGAGGACTTCGTTTGTGCGGCTCCGGGTCCGGGAACGGATGTTGTGAAGGGCGCCAAGACCTCGGTCCGCTGCCTCTTCCTCATACCGAGATTGAGCTTCGATTTCGTCGAGATGATGTATATGATCTGAGAATGAGCTACTTCTCCTCCGTCCGCCTAACAAATTGTGAGCTCGAGTTCACTCCAGAATACAATAGTTCAGTCTCGGGAAGAAGAAGAAGAAGAAGAAGAAGATTGGCAACGACTTACGGTATGGTGACGGTTCCCGTGTTGTCTCACTGGATTCACTTGCAGCCATGGTTTCTTGGCGTCTGGAGACACTGAAGCTATTCACATGAGAAAACAATCAATTGGAAGAGTAAAACAGCAGTAACAGCTATATTCATGTGATGTTGCAAGGAAAAGAATGAACAATACGGACAAGCACACGAAGTGGATAGGTTCTGCATGCACTCTTCTCCCCCATGACTTCAAAATTGGCCGATCCGGGTGTTGCATATCTATGGGCTAAGTGGCTACGCCCTCCCTCTTCCTGATCTTATTTGGGGTGCTACTCAGGCTACTGTAAGGCGTAATCCAATGCATGGAGAGAGGCATCTGTGTGGCAATTCCCCATAACTACCACAACAGAAGATCCGGAGCCGGGCCTCAAATATGGGTCACTCATGGGTAAAAGGTGGGATTCGCGGCGCCGATGATAGAGGCGGCGGGTGTGGGAGCTTGAGGAGCGAGGGGCTACAGCATGTGCGGGAGCCTCTTCCGCAGGTGAGGGGAGGTCGAGGGGCGTCATGAGAACCTTTGTTGTCATTCCCCAGAGCAGTTCCCAGGGTACTACGGCTCAATTCTCGATAGTCTGGAGAGTTGGTCCGCATTAGCTTCAATCAACTCAAAGAGCGAGCGAATCGCTGTGGTTTGGTCATCAAAGTTGGGGTTGCTCGAAGTGGTTCTTGGTGACCGATAACCCGGGAATAGCAACCGGACACAAGACCAAGGAGCTGAGCTGTTCCATAGACATGCGAGTTGCTGACCCGGCTTTCGATACCGGAGGGCGTGACCGGCGACCCCCAATGGGATTACAAATAAGGTTGCCCACAAACGTTGTGATGTGCAGAAGAATTGCTGCATTCACGAGAGACTGGATAAGGATTCTTCCGGCTGAATCGGTGTGGCTTTTTGTGGTTTCTTTTGGAGGGGGTATCAGCTTCGATTTTCTTTGTTCAAGTCTCTAGGTTGATCTGCTTTCCGAATCTGGCATATAGCTCGACCTTGAGCTGGGTCATCTCCTCGCGGATAGATGATAGCTTCTCCTCCAAAGATGTTGACTCTTCCTCGAGCTTCTCTGTTGCCTGCTCTAGCATCTCCTGAGCCTGCTCTACCGAGACATGGAAAAAGGCATCGCCAATCTTGTATCTGTGTCCAAGTCAGTATATTGGGTATTCGATTTTAGGAGTGTTTCGCTTTCGTACTGGATCTTTTCGTCCTCATCGGCGAGTTCAAGTTCGGTGGACAAATCGTCAAGCTCTTCCTTTTCCTTCTATATAGCAATATTGAATCAGTCGGTGTTCAACGAAGCTCACGAGGCATTCCGATGCTTGTACATCGTGTACGTACGGTTTTTGTGCTCAGTTCCTCCTCCAACAAAATTTCTCGCTGGTGTAGGCGACTGAATCTGTTGATCTTGTCCTGGTCCTCACGTCGAACCTCAACTTCGTCGGCTGCCTCCTCGTCCGCCTTTGAAAGCTAGAGAGCTGTCAGATATACTAGGATCATACCTTTGATCGAGGACAACTTACCATACGACGTTGTACTAATGAAGCCATGGCGGGAGACTGAAGATGCTATCGCTATTGTACAGATCTCAAGCTTGTGAGCCTTGCGCACAATCAACCCGAATCCCAAGGTGGGTTACAGTGCGTGCGTGTTCTCGGCCGTTGACCTGGCACTGTACACCCCTCACTCACTCCACTGGAACCAGGGGCTTCTTCGATTTGAGGGTGTGAAGCTCAAGGTGAGCTAGGTACGTACTGTATGCTTTTCGGGCGTTACCGATTGGATTATTCCCGAAGTTTGGATCAGTGAGGTCAGAGTAGCAACGGTAGAACGCGCATTGTCAACACCACAAACTAAAACAACAACCATTTCTCATCAACCATGGCGCTCGGAAAGAAACCATACCCCAAAGCCACGGTCAAGAAGATCATCAAGGCTCATTCAAACCACAATTTAAAGAAGAATGCAGATGTTACTGTGCGTTTAAACGTTCTCATGGCCGCAACTGATGCTAATGTTTACTTGTCTTAGATCTTCCTCGACTACGTCCTATTCATGGAAACGTACGAATCTGACGAGTCCTTCTGTACCGCGACAATCCAAGCTAACTTAATCAAAAGCCTTATCAAAGAAGCGGCGATCCACTCGAAACAGTCAGGCGAACGAGGTCTCTCTGCGAGGAGCGTCAAGAAGGTGACTAGAGTATGTCTCGTGAAGCATCTTCTCTCCACATCTGCTGATCCGTGCTGTCTAGGATACCTTGACCAAATTCAAGGGTTGAACAAAACGAAGAACTGCGACAAGCAACGAAACCTACCGGACTCACAACAGAGTTGCGATCCTCAAGAGCCGCGCCGTCATTGAGAGCCATACAGGCATAGACGCGACATCCGACATGGTACAACAGTATCACATACACCGCAGACATTACAGAGTTGGGAATGGAGGCACTGTATGAGTTACCCCCTGACGGATTCCGCGACCGGGCAGAGGGCATCGCGAGGTTGAAAGAACATAGCGTTTGCGCACGAGACCACCCACCTAACCTCATCTCAGCTGAATGCGACGATTGGGTGGGGCTTTTTTCTTGTCATGACGATGATGTAGACCAACGAGAGAACACTCCGTCTCTATCCGTACAAACAACATTAGTAGATTAATAAGGCAAACAATGGATGAGTCTTGATAAAGAAAATACTGCACTCAGCCTAAAATTCATCATAATGTGAAACCATCTTATACACACAGCAATTGACAGCCCCGTTTTCTCGGCCAGAAACAATGACAGTGTCAATGCAGGGGGTTTGCTGCCTGGGCGCTCTGGGGTTAGTTAGTGTTGGTACTGGCACTGGCACTGGCGGGCACAGACATGCAAAGCTTCGCTGTACCACAACCTAACTCGGACTTCTCCTTCTCCTGCTCCAGCTCAGCTACCTCGCTTTACTCTTCTCCACCATCTGGACTCAACTCTTCTCTCTCCTCCAAACCATTCTAAACGCATCTTTAGCATTTAGCATTTTCACTTTCTCAAACACTCAACGAACCATCTCCTCTGTGAGCCTGTCGCACACATCGCTGACAGTGCCGTAACTCTCCGCGCAAACTCTCTTCCACCAAATCACACGATCTCCTCATCCTACCGCGATGGCTGCTCAAGCTGTTCAGCCTTCCAAGTCCGCGAAGAAGAAGGCCGCCAAGGCCCTCGAGCGAACCGAATCACCTGCGCCCAGCGTTGCCTCTGCCACTGCCGATAAGAACAGCGATGACAGCTTCGAGAGCCCATACATCAAGGAGATCCAAAAGTATGTTTCTGGGGCTTGAGTTTAATATGCGCAGACGGTAGAGTGCTAACGATCACAAAGGAACATCCGAAATGTCAACAAAAAGATCGTACGTGCCTGGTTGCAGCCCAACTGTCGATCATCGTCACACTGACTTTACCGTTAGACCAACGCTTCCAAGACCGACTCCCTCCTGAGCCAGAACCCTGGCAAGTCCCTTGATGAATTGGTTGAGTCTCGAATCATCAACAACGACCAGAAGGCCCAGATTCTCAAGAAGCCCGCTCTGCAGGCCCAGCTAGCGCAATACGAGGAACAGCTTGTGCAATACCAAAAGGTTGACGAGCAGTACCGTACACGTGCCGCCAGTGACAAGGCAGAGTGGGAGAAGAACTTGGAGAAGGCCAAGGCCGATGCTGTTGCAGAGGCCAAGGCTGAGTCTACCAAGTCTCTCCATGACAACCTCCTCGTCCTCTCACAATTTTTGCGACTTGCTGCCTACCGCCGCGAGGAAGCTCAAGACCCCGACTCCGATGAGAGTCAAGCTATCGAGGGTGTGCTTCTTGCCATATACTCTGGTGATGAGAATGCTGTGCAGTCTATGCTCAAGCTTGTCAACGGCTCTGAGGATCAAATTTACAGCGTGCCTGGCGAGCAGCTACAGACCTCTTGTGAGTATCCCAAAGCAGCTCAAATTCGTACTTGTCTTTACTAACAATACTTAGTCTCCAAGGTCAAGGCCCTTGCTCAAGAGTACAAGACTCACTTTGACGAGCCTCAGCCTGCCGAGGGCGAGGCCGAGCATGTTAAGGATGTTGCTACCGATCCTACTATCGCGCACGCTGCCGCTACTGAGATTGAGGCTGGCGACACCGCCGCTCCCGTTGTCGCTGAGCCTTCTTCAACCTCCAACGGCTTGGCCAACGCCAGTGTTGCTGATGATGCTGCTAATGCCGTCGCCGAAAGCCATTGGGACACGAGTAACGATCTGTCCACTTCACAGGAGTGGGTCGATGTGAAGCCTGCCGAGGCTGTTGAGGCCGATGCTACTGCTCCTACTCGCGTCGCCAACACCCACTCCTGGGCTGATGACCACCCTGAAGTAAGTTGATTACTTATTCGATAATATACGATCAGATGCTAACAAGTCAGACCACCGCCCCTGCTGATCCCAACGATGGATTCCACCAGGTGCAGCGAAAGGGCCCCCGTAACGAAGGTGGCAACCACCGAGGTCGCGGACGAGGCGAGCACCGTGGCCGAGGTGGGTTCCGCGGTGATGGTCGTGGCCGTGGTCGCGGTCGCGGTGGTGCTGGTCGAGGCGGACGACGTGGCGATGAGGCTTAAGCACCTCGAAACATGGCATGCGGTAAACACACAAACTTACGAATCTCCTTTTATCTCCCGGAGGCAAATGTACACCATGAGATGACGGCGTTTACAAGTCAAGATTTCTATCTAGGGCGAATAGCCAGGGGACGGACGGTGGACTTGAGGACTTTGCATTTTGGGGTTTTGATGATTTTGGGACTCGGATATACATCTGGCCACGGTTTCGGTTGGAGTTCTCTATACCTTTGTAACAAAATAGGCCTTCCGGGGATTAGGCAGTAGGTAGATAATGTGAATGGATACCCGCCAAATGTGTTTGATGTGTGACACATGATGCAAAGTCGTGTGGATATTGTAAACCGAGCCATTGAGTTATGGTATGGTTCAAATATTACCATGAAGATCGGTACTACATATTATGTCAAGAGTATCGTCTCATTACATGGTGCTGGACATGCTATGATGCCTCATGACAAGGCTGAGGGTCAAAGCTAGAGCTCCAAAGTGTGCCGTCATAGGGTTGACAGGGGGTCTTGGAGAATGTGGGGAGCTCAGAATGTCATGTTATTGGTAGATAAATTGGCCACATTATTGACTGAAGAAGAGCAAAGGCCACGTGCGTTCAATCTCATGATAAGGCCATAACGAAACTCCACTGAATATTGCGTTTAGGTAGACCTAATACTCTATACATCAAACCTCAAGAAACATGTCTTGTTTGCATAGTAGTTAGAGAAAACCCATCTCGCCTAGTCAACCCATATGATATCTATATCACAGTTCAACTTTTATCCCTAAATCACTATACAATTTGAATCTAGTCAGTATAATCATGAAATTACCCAAGATTACGGATACCTACCTCCACGCCATCCATCATAAGCTATAGCCTAATTACCAAACATCATGAACTTCTGAGACCAAATAGGCCACTTGTCACTACTGGGGGCTTTGATGTGTCAAGCGAACTCGATGCTAGAGCGAGGCCTTGACTCGAATGTTCCACTGTAAATTCTTATCGCCCCAATAATTTCGAGTCGTCTGTCTTATCTGTCGCTCAGCCTTGCATAGGGACTAAACGTCACCGCCGCCATAATACCTATTGTTAGCTGTCCTCTTTCCATGAGTGGCTGGACGCTTCCACTAACTGAGCTTCTAACAGCCATCGTGGCTTCTTGCTCCCCCCATTGGAAGAGGTCTCCATTCTGGCCACATCGTCCAGTCCTCTCTCTCTCTTCTTTAACTTATATATACAAAAAGAGTTTCTCCGGGCTTTTTATTTTCCTGCCCATAGACGAAATCGTCTTTTTGTTCTCTTTTCTCAAGAGGCAAAGCTCCTCGCTGGTTACAAAAAAGAAAAGAAATACTCTCTGCGAATTGGTGTGCGCAACTGAGCGCACCCCACCAAAACCACCATCATGGCATCTCGAGTCTCGCCGCTCATGACGCTTTTGGCGACAATCTTCCTCTTCGCCACAAATGTTTTCGCAATCTCAGCTGTTTTGGGTGTCGACCTTGGTACCGAGTACATCAAGGCCACTCTTGTCAAGCCTGGAATTCCTTTAGAAATCGTCCTAACAAAGGACTCCCGACGAAAAGAAACCTCCGCCGTTGTCTTCAAGCCCTCCAGAAATGGTCCTCAGAAGGGCGACTACCCCGAGAGGGCCTATGGTGCAGACGCCATGGCTCTCGCCTCTCGATTCCCTAGCGACGTCTACCCGAACCTCAAGACCATCCTCGGCCTGACCACTCAAGATTCTGTGGTTCAGGAGTACGCTGCCCGACACCCTGCGCTGCAATTGCAGTCCCATCCCACACGAGGCACCGCCGCATTCAAGAGCAAGTCCTTTACTGACGATGTGGAAGCCTGGATGGTTGAGGAGCTGCTCGCTATGGAGCTGCAGAGCATCCAGAAGAACGCTGAGGTGGCCGCTGGTGATGGAAGCATCGTCCGCTCCATTGTCCTGACCGTTCCTCCTTTCTATACTGCCGATGAGAAGCGGGCTCTTCAGACTGCTGCTGAGCTTGCCGGTCTTAAGGTCCTGGGACTTCTCAGCGATGGTCTCGCCGTTGGTCTGAACTACGCCACTACCCGGGAGTTCCCCAACGTCAGCAACGGATCTAAGCCCGAGTACAACATCATTTTCGACATGGGCGCTGGCTCTACCAAGGCTACCGTCTTGAAGTTCCAAGGCCGATCTATCAAGGATATTGGCAAGTTCAACAAGACTGTTCAGGAGGCTCACGTCCTAGGCGCTGGTTGGGACCGCACTCTTGGCGGTGACTCCCTCAACTACCTCATTCTAGATGATATGGTCAAGCAGTTCGTCGAGTCCAAGGCCGCTCAGAGGGCTTCTGTCGCTGCTGAGAGTGTCAGGTCCCACGGCCGCGCCATTGCGAAGCTCACCAACCAAGTCGAGAAGGTTCGCCATGTCTTGAGTGCAAACCAGAACACCGGAGCCAGCTTCGAGGGCTTGTACGAGGACATCGACTTCCGATACAAGATTACCCGCACTCAGTTCGAGGAGATGGCTGCCGAGCACGCTGAGAGGATCACTGTTGTAATCAACGATGCCCTGAAGGCGGCTAACCTCGACATCATTGACATCGACTCTATTATCCTTCATGGTGGTGCATCTCGCACTCCTTTCGTCCAAAAGGTCCTTGAGAAGGTTTCTGGCTCTCCTGAGAAGATTCGATCCAACGTCAACTCTGATGAAGCCGCCGTTTTCGGTGCTGGTTTCCGCGCTGCTGAGCTCAGCCCCAGCTTCCGTGTCAAGGAGATCCGAATTGCCGAGGGTGGTTTCTACCCCTCTGGTGTGAAGTGGGAGACCAAGGAGGGAAAGACTCAGCACCAGCGACTCTGGTCTGCCGTCTCCCCTCAAGGCGCTGCCCCTAAGGAGCTTACATTCACCAACGAGAAGGACTTCACTGCCACTTTCTACCAGCAAATTGGCTCTGATGAGAAGGATGTTAAGACTCTAACTACCAAGAACTTGACTACCACTATCGCTGCTATTAAGCAGAGGTATCCCTCTTGCGTCGAGTCTGAGGTTCGCTTCAAGCTCGGTGTCAAGCTCAGCGGCGAGAACGGTGAGGTTGAGATTGCCAAGGCTGCTGTTGAGTGCGAGGCCGAGGTTAAGGAAGGCCTCGTAGATGGTGTCAAGAACTTGTTTGGCTTTGGCAAGAAGGACCAGAAGCCTCTGAAGGAGGGTGAAGGCTCTGAGGAAGAGATGAAGGAGGACAAGTCTTCTTCTTCCACTGCCTCTCCTGAGTCTGCTACCGCTTCAGCAGCCGACTCTGCCGCTTCTGGAAGTACCGAGGAGGTCAAGCCTGAGGCCAAGAAGCGAGAGATTGTTGGTATCCCTGTTGAGATCGCCATGGAGAACCGTGGTATTCCTGCCCTTACACCAGCCGAGATTTCCAAGTCCAAGGACCGTCTCAAGGCCTTTGCTGCCTCTGACAAGGCGCGTCTACAGCGAGAGGAGGCTCTCAACCAGCTTGAGGCATTCACCTACAAGATTAGGGATCTCCTTGAGGGAGATGCCTTTATTGCGGCTTCTACTGAGAAAGAGAGGACCAAGTTGGCAGAACTTGCCAGCGAGACAAGTGACTGGCTCTACGCCGATGGTGCAGAGGCTACCAAGGATGTTCTCAAGTCTAAGCTCAAAGTTCTCAAGGACCTAGTCACACCCATCCAGAAGAGAGTTGAAGAGACCGAGAAGCGACCTGAATACCTTACTGCACTAAAGCAGACTCTGGAGAACACTCAGGGATTCGTCGACAAGATCAAGGGACAGATTGCTGAGCATGAGAGTTGGCATAAGTCCGCCTCTGAGTCCGCCTCTGCATCTTCATCAATTGAGTCTTCCAGCACCGAGGCTGCGCAAGAGAAGGCCACAGGTGACTTTGACGGACTGGAAGACGAAGATCCTGCTGTTACGGAGGCCCGCAAGATGGAGCAAGTGATTAGGGAGAAGGGGCCTATCCCCCCTCTGTATACTTTGGAGGATCTCAAGGAAGTGATTGATCTTCACAAGGCCACTCTGGACTGGTTGAATAACCTCGAGGTCAAGCAGTCTAAGCTTGCTGCCACTGCCGATCCTGTACTCCTCATCAAGGACCTCAAGGTCAAGCGTGACAAGCTCGAGAAGGCTAGCGTCGAGGCCGCCCTCAAGGGTGCCAGAAAGGTGGAAGAGAAGAACCGACAGGCCAAGAAGGCTGCCAAGGAGGCTAAGAAGAAGAGCAAAAAGAGCAAGACAACAAGTGGAGAGGCGTCACAAGAGACGGTGCAGCTTAACGCCGAGGACTTCATGAAGGACGGTGAGATTGATAAGGAGCAGCTCGAGAAGTTGCTCAACGATATGAAGAAGGAGAACGAGAAGAATGAGAAGAACAAGAAGAGCGAGGGAGAGAAGAAGCAGACTCACGACGAACTATAGACGATGGCGTATTGACTTTTGATCTTTGCTTTCTCATAACGAAAAAGAAGAAGGTGGAGCTGGTTGTTGATACGCACGCACCTTGATTGATTGATTGTTTGATACCGGGTCAGATGACGAACGATAGAATATCTGACTCTGACTATGCCTACCATATGAAGTAGAATACCATGAAGATGGACATATGGATTTCTCACCAATGAATGACGAACGGGATCGCAACGTGAGATGTTTAGTATGTCGGTCCTGTTTCACGGGCCGTATCGCTTAGATATATTGGTCGACGGATCCGCGAGTAACGAAGCATTATATCGTGACCTTTGCTGTCTCTACCCGTTCCACGTCCATGTCCATGTCTAGCTCCCTAGGTACTAAGGTAGCTTGGTAGTATCGTTACTCATCCTCATGGTCTTGTGAGCCAATCTCATGACCCAAGTCGAGTACAGGTGCCCCCGTATCTGTATTTTCAGGATGGAGTATCTAACGTGCCGTCGTTGATTGTTTGCTACCAGAGACGTGGATTGGATATTCATGCATTGTTACGTCGCAGTTGCAGGTTCCCGTGTTTGTCCC